TTTAGAAATAGTCAATATTAATGATGGTGAATATTGGGATTACTAATGCTGTTATGTGAGGTTATCAATATGATGGAGTGCTTAATGTGTAAAAGACACTTTGCTAAGTGACCTACATGTACGAACTCATTTAATCTTAAGAAACTTTGAGGCAGTTACAAACTTACAAAAAGCTTTGAAGCTTTTTACAAATTTCTTTATTGATTCTAGAAGAGGTGGAAATAAGTGGTAAAACTGCATCTGTACTTAAACTGAGTCACCCCCAAACTGATGTCCTCTTAATCGCTAGACGAAACAGCTTCTAAGGTGGAGGAGTGAGCAGGAAATGCCCAAGACCTATTTTCCTCCTCAGGGAAGTGAACTTTATAGCCTGTTATGAAGATGAACTGTTTAGATGCTGTATTTGAAGCAACTGCTTATGTTTTTTCCTGAAATTTACTACTATGTCCAATTATATCAGGGATTCTAGTTTCCTAAAAAGAAGAAAATTGTAAGTTTTATTCCTTCTATTTTCAGATAAGCCAACTAAAATCCAGAAAAATGAGTTGAGTTACATATACAGTGTGTTCACTTAGTTTCATTTTGATTTTTAATATCTAGAACATCTTGAGTTTTATTCTAAATAATTTTAAAATAATATATTCATTTATACTTTTTTCAGAAGTTGAAATTTTTAAGTTTTCATGTAATGAAGATTTACCTGTGAATATACAAGTAATAACTTAAAGACTGAATGATATAAAAATAATTTCTCTGGCAGGCAGTAGGTGACATTTTAATAGAAAAGTAATTTCTATATCTTAGTATCTGCCATAGCCATAAAAAATGAAAATATTCAAATTTATGTACATTACTTTCACTTACTTTTGATATATTTCTAACATATCACAAAAAAAGTGGAAGTTAGAGTTACTGAGTTAATATAACTTAAAACAAAGTTATTTTTCCACATAGATCATATTGGCTGAATAATATACAAATATCCTTTTCACTCTGTGATGTGTAGAATCAGATTTATAATATTTTGAGTCAATTTCCCAGCTTTCCTTTTTCTAAAATCTGATGGACAATATGCCTAAAAATATTTGATTTATATTTAGTACACAACAATGTTAAGGATAATACTTTCATAAAAATGAAAAATAGTATTGCAATATGCTATTAAAACTATCATTTTTGTTCAGGACTTGATGTAGATTTCACAAGTCCTTTGTGCAGACTTGATTATTCCCGAAAGTTGAATTCAAAATTTGATGACAAGACTGAATTTTGATATGTTTTTTTCCTTCTCAGTTTTAATTATTAGAATAGTTGCAAAACAATAAAAATCATTATATGTGGCTGAAGAATTCCTCCTGGGCCTGCTTTTTCTTTTTCATTAAAAGTCACTATTTGTGTTAAGTAACTCCATGCCTAATGATTAAGTGATTTCCTGACTCACTGTAAGTTCAAGTAAAAGAGACAGTAGCAAATATAACAGTCAAAACATATTAGTTAAGTCACATAGCTTAAGTAATTTATGTTTAATATAGTGATGTAAAAATATTTATTAATCAGTCTACTTTTTCATTTTCATTTTCAATTCCACAAATTCTATGAAATTGAAAAACAAATAGCTCTTACTGCTATTACTAGAACAATGATACGTGTATCTAAAAAAGTGTGAAACAAGTAACCTGCCATAATAGCAAATATTGGACACAATAGTATAGTATGAAGGAAAAAGACACCATATTGATGAATGCAAAACTTTGCCAGTAGGATAACTCCCTGATTTTCAGCAGCTTTTGCCTTTAGTCGTACATGGTTTAAGTACAACATAAAACTTATGTTTACAAGCTAGTAATTATTCTAAACATCGTTTATTTTTTAAATAAAACTATATTTTGATTATACCCATTGAACTCAATACTTTAGAAAAAATATGAACATGATTAGTATGCATATTTGTAATATGTTGATTCTGTGTAATAGTGTTTTCTAAATCTGAGACAGACCCCAGCAAGGACAGTATTTGGTTATTAGTATGCAGAGTGTCCAGGGGACCTGCATAAATCTAAAAAACTAGAGGATAGTTCTGAAGGAGAAATCATGAAAGAGAAAAATGGACAAAGACAGTGCTCATGATATGTGTAGCTATTATTTTATTATCATTATTAAATGATAGTTTTCAAGGAGCACAAATAATTCTGGAAGCTATTGTTTCTACTGAGGCCAAAATCACCCTCTGCCAAAAGGAAAACAAAGTGTAAACAGAGCAAGTTAAAGAAGTAGAGATTAAGGAATGACATATATATTCATTTTATTAAATATCAACTTTAATAATATAAACTTATAACATTAATTAAGAACTGTATACAGCAACTAAGCTAAAATGTGTATACATCAATTACCAGCACATCCTAATAAGCGGAAGAGCTGAGAACTGAATCCAGACAGCATTTGAGGTGACAGTTTATGTTCTTATCGCGTCACTGTGTTCTTATCACATGCACATGAGCAATACAGAAAGAGGGAGGGAAAGGAATATGTGCATTTTGGATGATTATTTCCAGGCAGGTCTTTAAAATGGGCTATAGTCACTTTTCATTAAACTTCTGAGAAAGAATCCTGACACACTGCTTTTCCATCCTCCACCTCACTTGATCTCCTCTCCAAAGCAGAGAAGAGCCTTTCTTACCACAAATCCTCCAGTGGCTTTTCATAAATCCCCCAGTGGCACAAGCTGTCCTGTGGATTTCTCAGCAGGAGCTCATGGGCTCCTTCTGGCTCCTGGCTGATTGCTCTTGCTTGTGTGTCTTAAGTCCTTGCTGATGCTCCAACTCTTCCTAAAACTTTCTCCTTCCCACTTAGTCTCAGGGATGATTTATTGCTCCTGATTCTGTTTCCTTAGTGCTTTAACTCCAGAATACTGCTATTGCTTTTCAGTATTTTTACATATCTGTCTCCCTCATTAACCATGAGGCCTGAATGCCCAGGGACCCACAGAGGCTGTAGTGTGAGTTGGTGCAGGAGAATAGTCTATAAATAACAATAAAAAATGACTACAGGTATTCAGAGATGATGAAATTACATCTGCAGAGTTCATTAGAGAATTCTGTCTCTGAGAGCTTCAGTGCTTAGGTAATGTAATAGAAAGTGCTAAAATGCGCTTTAAAAGAGTAAAGGAGTTAAATTGCCAAGAAAACAAAATCTTCACTGACGGTCAATTTAAGATACTATGGCAACATGCAATTTATAAGAATTATAATATCAATAATTTTCTGGCTATTCGTGACATTGATTATTTTATCACAATTTTATGTTACAAGGAAAGTTAAAGCCAATTTAATAAGCCATAAAACTGGTAAAGCTTTGGGAGAGTCTGAAGTGTTTAGCTGTAATTTTTGTGCCAATATTACAATTTAAATATTTAATATAGGAGTCGAACTATCTAGAATATAAACAGAAGATTTACTAACACTTTTTAATACAGTACCTTGTCATTACCTTCATGATAAAGTCCAAAATTCATGACTTGTCCAGGCCCCATCTCCTCTCCCAGCCTGGCTCTCATCATCTCCTGCATCTTTTCTCTGGATTTCTGGCTGTACCCCCTGCTCTTGCTTCAGGCCTCTTTCCAGTGCCAGCCCCTCTGCCTACAGACACACTCCCCTTTCCACTTTTAACTTTCATCTTCTACTCCTCTTTCTGCCATTGCTTACAATTTACATCCCACAGTACATTTCCCTGATTTTCCAATTAATCTTGGTGTTGAACACTTTCTCACTTCTTATAATGGCACTTATAGTACACTTACAGTAACCTGTACTAACATATTTACTTGTGTAGTTTTTTTTTAATATATGTCATTGTCACTCTCCCTAGATATTATAATCTACAAATTATTATAAAGTAAAAAGTACTTCACAATCTGCCTATCATTGGACTATATTTTCCAAGACACTGTGTTTTCATTTTTCCCTTAAGATAGTATAAGAAATCAATATATACAAAGAGAATGTATCTTCCTTTAAACTTTCTGAGGGTCTGCTGGCAGCAAGCATCAAAGCTGAATTTTACGGCATGGGAAGTAACTGCCCTTCATTAGTTCTCCTCTAGAAATTTTAAACATCCAAAGAAAAAAAAAGAAATTTTGATTTACTTATAAAATAGTGATTATTTTGAAAAAACTTTCCGAATTGGAGCTTTTCTTCTAACATTAGGCGTTAAAGACACTAGTAATTAACCTTTGACAATTTTCAGTATAGTGCACAAATAATTCAGAGGCTCTCTATGACATATTGCACGGGATTACCCTGTTTCATCAACACTTTCTGATTTTTTTTCACATTTTAACATCTCTGAAATGGAATACAAATAGATATGCAAACATAGTTGACAACTTCTAACAAGATCAAGAAATTGCCATGTCAATCTTTGTCTCGGTGAAATACAATTACATAAGTAAAGTAAATGTGTAGTTTTAAAGACCGGTATGATGCTGTAGGCAACCTACACTCATTTTTCCTTTCTCAGATAGAAGAATATTTTCATTATGCCTTAAGGGTTACAAAAATCAACTCCCAAAATATCGGTCTTACAAACTTATTTAAAATTTGCAAGCATATAAAAAGTATTATTAATTTCATCATCTTGACAGCTTTCTATGGAGAAAGGGGAGATGGTGTGTTATTCCTTTGTACAGTAAGAAACTGAATCTCATGTGCAAAAAGCTTTGGTAGTTAAACGTAGCTATACAAGTGAAGTCAGAAATCCTAACATCTATTTCATGGGCATGCTTTGGTGTCCATACAGAGAAGCAATGCATTAATTATGGACTTTGACGCAGGGAATTTTGGCGCTGTGACCATCTCTAATGAAGACTTAGTCATGTCACAGGGTATAATCGTGTGACAGGGTGCCTTCGGCATACATTGGCCGGCACTGACTCGAGGTGTGGCCATGTTGGCAGTATGAATTGATGCGCGCCAGCCTGTGTAACTCGAGGTTTTCATCAGGACAGTGACCTTCTGGACCGGCGGAAACACTGCTTCGCCGTGCAGTCCGAATCTGGGGAGGACCTCTGCTTCTCTGTGGAGTTAGAGTCGGACCTCGCCCAGTGGGAAAGAGCTTTCCAAACAGCAACCTTTCTGGAAGTGGAACGGATACAGGTGAGAGCCTGGAATTTTAGAGACTCCCAAAGGTGCATATATTCTACTATAGAGTTCTACTATAAATTGGCATAGAAATAGTTTTGTGAGTCTTGACCTACTTCTCAAATACATTGGTTAATTAGCCATTGTTATTAAATGAATAGTAACAACTCCGAAAAATGTTACTTTTTACAATTTGAGCTTTCTAGACTATTTACTACCACTCGTCAAAAATATTTTTTCTAATTTTAATTAGAATCTGCTCCAGTTTAAATCTAAAATAGAAAATACTGACTTTAATTCATTTTTTATAAGGCCATTTCCTGTTTCTCCAGTCACCACCTGATTTTAAGCCTGAAGGGCTTCATTCACTTAGAATGCTCTTTCTTGCTAGAAAGCCCTCCCTTCATCTCTATCTACCCTTCAAAACCACAGCATTTGAAATTTTTTTCAGAGCTTATTATCACCCATGAAAGTTTTTCTGACTTCCAGTCCACCCTGCCCATGGATTACCTACTCCTTCCCTAACACCCTGTTCAAGTTACCCTACTTCTGAACACCACTGTCCCCTTTTTTGGTCTGTTTTCTTAGGTCTGCTCACACTGCGTCTGGTATTGCAGTGATGCAGGCTGGTTCGTTCCCCACATTAAGTTATAGGTTGCTGGGTAGATAATTTATCTACCAACTGAAGTGCAGTGCATTTTGTGCATTGATAGTGTGCAACAGATATTTATTAAACTTTACAGCTACATCAAACTTCATAGAACCATCAACCATCCTCTGCAGTTCATAGGACCATGGGGTGGAATGGGCCCCCAAATATTGGCTGTGTGGCTGACCTCTGACAGACCTAGGACAAAATGAAGCATTTATTATGTACTTGCCATGTGCAGGCAGATTCACAGAGCCTGGTTCTAAATGGACACATGGACACTTAATTTTGAAAATGAATATATAATGATGACTGCATAGTAATGACTATATTCTGGAGTGCTTGCCTATAATAGAAGACGGGTGCATATTTCAATTTGAATTAATACAGCTCTTTCAAAATAGGACTTCTAATGAAAAAATATATAATTTCCAAAAATTGATTTCCTTCACTTATTATTTTAACCTCTTTCATGTGTTTTATCTAGCTATAGACATTTAACTGTCATCCAAAAGGGTATTAAGAAGTATCTTATGGTGATGTATTTTCAAATGTTGTATAAAAATATGTAATTGTGCAAAAATCTTTCAAAGTGCTTCTAGTATGAACTTCTCTTAAAAAGGTAATTTTTTTGCTTTCCTAGCTGTAATTCAATTTTTTAATAAAATAAACACAAATTAAATAATAATTCAAACATAGTTATTTAAGTATTTATTAAGATTATAAATTACAGACTTAAATTTCAGTGGGTCTCAATTTGTACAGTACATCTATATTTCAATCATATCAATATTTCAATACAATGATTTTTAAGATGATGTAATTTAATTTGTAATTCTGAACCTAATGAAGTAAATTTAAATGTTCTGTACTGACATATTCTTTTTAGATAATAATACAGTTGACCCTTGAATGATATGGATTTGAACTGCATGGGTCCACCAATGTACAGATTCTTCTTCAATAAATATATACAAACATATTTTGCAGATTTGTCACAATTTGAAAAAATCATTTTCTTTCCTCCAGCTCACTTTATTGTGAGAATACAATATGTAATACATATGACCCACAAAAAGTGTGTTCATCAACCATTTATGTTGTCAGTAAGGTTTCTGGTCAATAGTAGGCTATTGGTGGTTAAATTTTTAGGGAGTCAAAAGTTATATATGGATTTTTGACTGCATTGGAGGTGGCAAGTGAGGGTCAGCTGGCCTAACCTCATTGTTCAAGGGTCAACTTTACTTGGAAATAGTAAGCAATTATGTCTAAAATGCAGGAAATGAAATAGCCATGAACATCCCTTACTGTTGATGTAGATTTAAGCAGTAATGGCTGGATGTGCATATGGAAGATGCCCATGTAATAAAATGACACCCAAAATGAACTTATAAGGCTCATTAATTTGTTTTATGCTTTTTTGAAAACTTACCTCTAAATGAATCATTCAACATGGGTGCATATTTCCTATGCAAATTGGAAATGAATATGAAAAAATATATATAGCTTTTTGGTGAAGGTGTCTTAAAGCATTTACCCATCATTATAATCAGAATGCCATTTGTTTAATGTACTTTTATATACAGTATTATAAAACAAATATGTGATTGGTGCTGAATATTTGCTTCAGGTAGGTTTCTTTCTATGTCTCTCTGTCTCTCTCCTTGTGTGTGAATTGTGAGTATTTTTCTTCATTTGAATATTCCACTACAGTTTGCAATTAAATATGAATAAAACTGACCTGCAGACACAAAAATGCATCATATTGCATATAAGCCTCAAACTGTTATTTCATATCTGTTATTCTTGTATTTTAGTGTCTATATTTTACTAATCTTCCCAAAATATTTATATAAGTAAAATTAGAATTTAATCTGATCTTATTGTGAAAGATATTGATTGTCAATTCCTGAAAAATGAATAGATTTGCACAAATAGGCAAGCATCGCTAAATAGCTTAAGCTAAGTGAGAAGAACTTGTGCAAATCTTAAGTCTGAATTTTTTTTTCTGCCTTGGTTACTGTGTGTGTGCCTCAGATTTCTTTTTAAATAATATGCGTGAAATTGACATGCCAAGAATTTTGGTGATATCTTAATCTTTAATAATTCACTTTTAGTTTACAGGAAATGCAGTGATATTTAGCTACAGAAAAAACACTTAGCATAATCTTTCCTGCACCTAAAAACGTTTATACCAGTTTTATAGCCAATATAGCAGAGAGAATCAGTGTGGCACAAGGTAAAGACAAGGTGGGACGGAGCAGGATTGGAAACTTGGCCTTGCATACCCCTTGGCAGGTCCAAATCCACTTAGTTTCTATTTTATTAATATTAGGATGTGATATCTTATACAATTATTGCTGATATTGTTAGATATTGTATACAGAACATTACAGGAGCTGCCACACAGCTTTGATTAATGTTGGCTATTAATACTGAAATTGGGTCAATCACATGGGAAGTAACAGTGTTTTCTTTTCTGTTAAGTGCAAGACCTACGCATGTGTGCTGGAAAGTCACCTAATGGGACTCACAATTGACTNATATATATATATATATATATATATATACACACACACACACATATGGTATGGCACCATCTTGAGGGGAAAGTTTCATGTTCCAAAACAATTTCCCTAAAATGTTTCTTCATTATTTTTCTGTATCAACACCTCCAATATTGAAATTGAAATCAGTTCATAAAGTACACAGCTCAGCTCAGTTTTTCCAATCCTAATCCTTATTAAAATGGGTGAGAGTTTCTTTCAGTCTTAGAAATAGGGTTTCTTTCTAATGTGTCAAAGAGCATTTTCCATAGTTAAGTAAATTTTCCTAAAATGTTCCTTCATTATTTTTCTGTATCAACACCTCCAATATTGAAATGGGGAAAAAATTTTTTAGTCTTATAGGTAATAGGTCAAAATTGCAGAATGGAAGGATTTGGGGTTTTGAGTTTCTAGCCAGGAAGTATAATGCTTGTGAACACTTGCCCTATTAAAGTCTCATACTGACTAATTTGGTGTCCTTTCCAGAAAGGATATGTCTCTGGCTATGGTGAGTACTGAATAATGAGGACACCTTCTCTGCCAGTCTCAGCCACCAGGATCTCCCTCCAGTCCTGGAGCCACTGCTGCAGTTTATAACCTGGGGCTCTGGTCCCCACGGGAGACATTCCCTGCCCTTCATGAGGACATTGATTCCATAGACCCACCCTATCTTCTTCATCATAGAGTGGCCTAAGACACAAACCTCTTAATTAGGGATACATAATCCCTTAATGGGAAACATATTTTACCTGCAAATTAAGACTTGTACAGGATTTTCAAAAATAAATACAAATAAAACAAGACAGCAATATCAGTGAGTGAGGAAGGCAGGGTGCACAAGTAGTAGGGGGTGTCTCGATCTCAGGAAAGCTGGGCGTCTGATGGGCCAGGTCAGCTGGTCACAGCCGAGTAGGATGTGGGTTGGTGTTTGGAGGTCTTGTGGCTTTTCATGACCCAGCAATTGAGACTGTCACACTAAAGCTCACATTATTTTAAGGATGGCCAGTGTTTCCTCTTATTGTGACATTGTCAACTTACATAAAACACAAAGGCTGGTTGGGTTTGACCATCCTGAGCATTGCCTTTGCTTAAAGCCAAAATAATACTTCTCTAAATATGGAATTTCAGGTGCCAGTGGCCCTATCCACGACTCTCAGATGAGACTGTCATAAACCTTTCATATGATTTAAGACCTTCTTTTGAGTAAAATATACATTGAAATCAGGATAGGCTCATGAGTACTAAATTAATAATTTACTAATTTAATTATTAATTCATCAGTTTCATAGGTATTAATTTAATTAAAAACTTGAAAATAAATTAAGCTGATTAGAAAAAAGTCGGATTTTAAAAATGAAATAGTATTACCAGAATTGTCATCAAATTTTATCACAGGAAAGTGAGAGAGTCCCACACTGGTAAATGAGAGGGAAACACATAATTCATTGGAACAAATCCTGAACGCCTGAATCTATTTTGAGTTTTTCCTTTAAGGCTAATATGATCCACATCTCTTTCAAGGTCCTGTTTGGGCTTTGTGTGGAAACGGAGAAAATCCTGATATGGACATTCTGCACAGCATACTGTGGTGCTCCCACCTGGGTGTGCGGGGAAGGAGTGAGCAGACAGGAGAACCTAAGCAGATCGGCAGGATGCCGTCTAGGGAAAACCATTTGGTAGGAAATGGGATTTTAGGCAGTATGAGTATGACACACAGGTAAAACGCCGGAGCCCTTTCAGAGTAGTCACCACTATCCTTCCGTTTCTGACTATTGCTGGAAGTATCTAACTACAAGGCAACTTAAGAATTGGGAGGGAAGGAAAATAATCTATAGACATTATAATAAAGGTAATATTTATGATGGAAACTGTGACACCTAGAGAATGAAGAGAAGAGCTCTTAATATTTATGTCAAGACAACAGGCAGGAACTGAGGCCCTGGGCAAACCACTGGGCTGACCTTCCTACAGGAAGGTTGCCTCACTCTGTGAAATGAGCCCAGTTACCTATAAATCAAAACTGGTTCCAATGTCTATTAAAATAATTAAATGATATTCAATTATTTTCTCTACTTGATATGCATGTGGGAAGAAACCTTAAGGATGTTTGTCTGGCGAATTTTTTTAAATGTTTGTGTTTGGAAGGGCCATGGCAGCCATACGACTCACACCCTTAGCTGTACCCACTCTGCCTGCCTGCATGGCACCTTCATCAGGCCCTGCTGCCTCCAGGTGATCCTGGGAGCAAACCAAGTCCTTATGATAAAGCACAGATTCCAGGAGAGGGGTGCATGGTGCTCTGAGTGGGTCGTTGTGCCCCACGTAAAACACATACAGCACTGCTGGTACATCCGTGAAGGAGAACTGCTGCATTAATGTATAAAATAAACAGCCATAGGTTTTATTTCTTACAAGAAATTTTAAAAAATAAAATAACAGTAACAAAAAGTAAACTAAAAGATGAGAGACTGATGATAGGGAATGAGAGTCGGTGTGGTTTTAGATTATACAAGAATGCTACAGGTTTGGAAGCAGTGAGCTGTCGGGTAATGTCAAGCTAGTTCTCGTTACTTACACTCATGCATGAACATCCCCAGGGAAAACCATTCTCTGAATATTCCAGAGTACAAGACACCCTAAATAGCAGTTTCCCACACACTTCAATTTACTTTAGCAAGACAGCAAGAGGTCGTACATTCTTCTGCTTCCCTTAATGAGGGGTGATTCCTTTTCAGTTCATTGAGTACACAGCTCAGCTCAGTTTTTCCAGTCCTCATCCTCATTAAAATGGGTGAGAGTTTCTTTCAGTCTTAATAAAAGGGTTTCTTTCTAATGTATCAAAGTGTATTTTCCATAGTTAAGTATAGTTAGTTACATATATTAATAGATCTCCCATGTAAAGAGAGAACTCAACAGTAACCATTGTAAGTAAATATTTGCTGAATGCTTGCTGTCTACAGAAATACACAGGATAGGGTATATATGTCAGTCCTGGGTGATCAAGGAAGGCTTCCCAGAAATTGAGACACCAGGGATAAAATAATCCAGACAAGGATCTATAAGTGAGAAAGAACATTGCATTTGAGGTCAGATTTAATGAGAAATAGATTTGTAGATGACTAACAGCTAGATCATAAAAGGGGTCCTATTAAAAGTTTTGGATTTGATCCTGAAACAGAAGAATACCTTTGAAGGTTTGGAACATATGAAGGATCACATGGGTGTTTGGCAGCACAAAACTAAGTAGAACAGAGTATGTTTGAGATTTGGGGAACTGGGCAAACCCTAAATTCTAAGTTCTCTAAAACCGTCCTCCAGTGGGCATCTATCACACGTTCCTCAGAAGCCATCTGCACATTTCACAAGGTCAACTAAACACAGTGTTACAAACAGGATGAAAATAATCCCAGTGTATGTGCAGAAGTGAGAGGTGTTTAGCATGATTGGAAGATAAGGTACCAGGAGGAGGATGGAGAGAGAATGCTGGAGAAAATAACTGTGCCACACGATTAAGGTCCAGGGCACGTCTAACCTAATCTGATTTATACTGAGGAAAGAGTGCCCTAGCTGAGTTTCACATATCGCTGTGATTGGGAGGAGGCAAGGTTGAATTAATGGACATTTATATTTCCCCTTGATAATGTAGAAGAATAATTTTCAGACTCTTCATTTTAAACCATAAAATTTTGTAAAAAAAAAGAAAAACAAAAATGAGGGAGGGTGCTTTTTAATCTGTATCAAGCAGGTAGCACCTGAGCTCTGGTGATTAAAATGGGGATGAAGGCATGCGATCTCATGCCTAGACCTCCCCTCATTCCTAATCTTATTGCTGCCCAGGGGTGAAGCTGCCTTCCAGGCACCATTGACCGTAACTGGGGCACAAGGACCATTCATCCTGTGTCAATAAACGTTGCACTGTGTGAAACACCACAAATGTTCACTCTTCAATCTGGGTAAAGGAAAAGACATTATTATTCATATTATTATTGTTTCCCTAGTAGACTCTCTGGAATCCTTAGTTCCCCCAAATTTTTATGGTTTGATAGTCTTTTAAAATTTTTAATAGTTGAATTTGAGAAATGCTAGGATAGCATGCCTCAAAGACTTCTTTGCTTTAGGATATCTGAAAGCCTGTACTAACACATAGCACATTAAAATATTTTTGAAATCCTGATTGCCTAGCAGATCTGTGAAGATAATAAATTATGATATAAAAATTAGTTTTTAAGAATTAGCTCTGTCATATGTTAGAAACTATTATAACAATTTTATGTTTTCTTCTTGTCCCCATTACTAACCTTCACTGAATATAAATTAAAAATGAATGTGGGAAATTTGTAAAACCCATGCATGTGCCTGTTGACCTGCATTTTAGGAATTCTGTGGAGTAAAACACAAAGTCATTCTAACTGAAATCACTTCCTTCTTGTTTTCTAGATTTTCTCTATAAAATCAGAGGGTTTCTTGTTCCCAAATAATTGTGCTATATAATTCATTAACATATTGATTCATGAAATATTTTAATCCACATAATCCATTCATATCTTTAAGTAGAAACTGCTTCCTACAGTGTATCAAGGTAAAATTGGAAAGGAAGTTAACACATGACCTATATTTACACATTTCATTTTCAAGAGTCTTGGGTACAGATTGGATAAGTTGAAAGTTACTAATTATGAGCTTCAAGCTATTTTTTTCCCAAAAACATATGACCTTTTTGTACATATACACATTTCATATGTTTACTAGATTTTTTTCCAATAGGTAGTTATATCTTTAAGATAATTATAACATGGACTCCATAGGTTAAACCTCTCAAAATGAAATTAAATCTTTATTTTTTAATTTTCTGATATTTATTATATTTCAACTATTTCATATCAAAGGTAGTTATTAAAAACCTAAAAGGAATATTTAAAATTATCAAAGTGCATATATTCTTGAAACACATCCTATATAAGTAGACATCGTATACACATGCTATGATATAGTTATGACCATATTCTTATAAATCTTAGCATTTTCCTTTTTTAAGTTTCTCTCAGTCTTCTTCTCTATTGTATAAACTGAAGCTCCTAAACACAGTTATTTGGTGGAAATTTATGTTCTTTAGATAAATTATTTCTTCTTTGAATTTGTTGCACAACAAACTCAAGCATTTAGGGAAACGATCCATCAGTTAATTTTTTTTTAACCCTGAAGCATTTCAAAGATAGCTAAGTAAGTGTTCAAAGGAGGAGTAATGACCCAAGTTTTCATTCCAGTATATTAGCTGGATGTAATATAATAATAAAATCATGGATTCTTTTTTATTTCTTGTAATGCAAAGACATTGTAATGTGGAAATTAATATATACCTTACTGTCTATATTTATAATTCAGAGTATACAAAGAACAAAATCAGGCAAAAGTCAAAAATTCTTTGGCTAAAATACATTGTTCATATTTCCATTTTCATCTTTTTAAAAATTTTATATTGTTTTTATATCCCTCTTCCATCACCCTTTTAATTCTTTAAATTCTACTTCCTTTCTGTGGCTTTGATAGATTTTCTTTTCTTATGGATAAATTTCTTTTGTTACTAGGAATATCTGCCTTAAATTTTCTCATTGTGTTTTAGATGATCTTTCCTTCGACCACCAACTTTGGTTTCCATGATTTTTTTTTTTTGTTCCTAATGCAACGTTATTAGTCTCTGAAGCTCTTAGCATAGTAAATGTGAATAGTAATAGCTGCATATTTGTTTTGCAGCGTTATTCTAAAATTAAATGAGATAACTTTTTGAAAAAAAACACAGTAAGCTATGAAATAAAAGGTGTAGATTTTGAAGTCCTTAAGCATTACTTCCAGTAGTGCATCTTTCAGTGGATCCTGTCTCAAGCACACATCATGTCCTTTCATCCAAGGGGTACATCATGTTTCCCCTTCCATTTCAAACACCGAGAACTCACCAGACAGCTCTTCTGACCGCCCTCCCTCAACATCTGCAGGACCTTTGCTAATCCCATAGCTGCAGCAGCCTCACTTTCTGCACCTCTAAAATGGATATATGGACAACTTATAAACTGGGAAGCATATACCTTAGCTTAAGGGGCTTTAGGCAGTACTTGGAGAAAATTACCTTTCACCTGAGAATTTGTGGGTCCTGAGCAGCTAACTAGGTGCAGAGGGAGCTGCAGGAGATTGAGCATGTGTGAAAGCCCTAAGATGTGAGCAAGCAGCACAGGCCCAGTGCGGCAGTGGAGCAGGAAAGCAAGGAGCCAGGGGCCAAATAACGGGGAGCCTTGGTCTTCATAGTGCGGATCTGCATTTGCTTCAGTGAACGCGACCACAAACTGCTGTGTGACACACAGTGACAACACTGACATGATTTCTAACACTCGTGTGAAATTCAGACTATTGATCTGGGCAGGCCTATCCATGAGCTGTAGTTTGGATGGTTTCCTCCAGGGTCCCAGGTTTGGTTCTGCTCTTTTTGTTCTTTTCAGAACAGCTCAGCTCACGTTCGCCTTCCCTGCAGAGGGCAAAGTGTCGCTGGAACAGCTGCAGAACCCTCTTGGCCAAAGCATGCATGTGGCTGTGCCATGACCAAGTAGGAAGGTGGATGACCCAGTGGGTGGGAGTAGAGTGCCTCAGAGTGACATTTCAGTAGGCATGGATGGGCACGTTGTGCCAAGGGCTGTGGAAAGCCACTAACAGATCTATGCCCGCAATCTAGAACCACTGTGGCACCTTGTGGAGAATGCGTTGGAGAGGGAGAAGCATTAATATTGGGAAGGCAGAAGGTTAGTAGGAGATTGTAGTGTAGTGATGGGTGTGTTGGGGATGCAGAGCAGCAGGTTATTGAGTAATAATAAGGATATACTGTTAGTGGGGCTTGTATATATATATATATAGAGAGAGAGAGAGGATGAAACTAAATATTTCACTGAAGTTTCTGACCTGAACGACTGTGTGTGAAAAAAAAATGCACTAGGCAAGGAGTGGGTTCTCAGGACATCTGTTAGATCACTCTCATGAAGGTAGCTATGGAAAGGTCACTGAATAGTTGCTATGTTTAATGGATAATGAGAGTGTTCTTTCTCAGTTTTCTAGTGCCGATACTAGTATAATGACTCTAAGTTTCTTGGAAAAACTTAGTGTAGTGTGATATGCTGTAGAATTAAGATATTATAAACAAAGTATATGTCAGAATTAAAATGCCAAGGTGTAGTTCTGATAGCTTTTCCCTTTATTATGCAATGCTATAAAACTTTTCACTCATCTCAGAATGACTTACATCCCAAGAGACTTCTGGGTCTCTAGTACTGACAGATTTCTAGGACGCAGTCTTCATCAAACAACTGAGATAAATTCATTGGATAAACAAAATTTAGACACCAGCTGGGGCCTCCCCTATTGGATCTATCCTATATAAATTCATCCAAACATTAGAATTGTATGCACGCACTAACCATGAGTAATTCAGACTCTCATCTTCAACTACTGGCAACATTGTATGGCCTTTTAAACTAAATAAAAAGTTATTCAACCAGAAACACAGATTATGCATCCCAAGGTAATTCATTATATGTTGCAAATTAAAGGAAATAATTTTCCAAGTGATGCCTTTTACATTTGAGTCAAATGTAAACTATCAATTTCTAGAAATATAAATTTCTTTTCAATTTTAAGATTTTTTTTATTATGATTGGGGAAAAAAGAACAAATTATTGACTCAGACCAATATAGTTCATAATGAAATTTTAGACATCAATTAGTAAATGTGAGGAATGGTGCTGCCTCAGAAATAAAGACATGCAGTGTATATATTAATTTAATGGTTACTTAATAAAGTGCTTATTCTCCATCAGTGTTGCAGCTTGCAGACAACCTGGAGGAGAATGAAACAGTGCCTGCTTATTGCATTGTACAGAGCTATTGACTTAGATGTAGCTATTTCAGGAAACACATTTCTTTTTCTCCCTGTAGGTTTTACTACCCATTGAGCTGGCAACCATGGGTGCATGTGTTAAAAAGAAATAACTAGGAAATAGTTGATTTATATAGAGAATTGATAATATGAAATATAAGCATAGCTGAATTTTATCACATTGCCAGAAAAAAAACAATGACAATAAACAAAACTTTAAGGATCCAAGAGATTTATACCAACAAAATCAAATTTCCATGACAGTTTTTATTTTCCAGACAGTATATATATTTTCTTAAAATAAATTAATATGTTAGAACAGATAGCTTACCTCACCCAGAAGTGTGTGGAAACATGTTAGTATGTATTTTCCAGGGATTTTGGTTATTCTTATGAAAACTTTTACATAGATATGATTAAAATAAGTACTTTGTGTATACCAATTTATCAGATTGATGACTTTATTACAAAATAACTCACAAGGCCAGAGATTTAGAAACACTTTTCTGTTCTTTTTCTTAATAAATTCCAAATAAATTCTTAAAGTGAAAATCTATATATTCCTCTTTGAATGTTCCATGTATTTGATGGGAATATATATCCATAAGTCTCTCTATATAGAGTCCATTTGGGGGGATTAAATTTAAATGAAGTGTATTTGATGGAGAAACTCTGGGCTTGACTGAGTAGTTTCATTCAGTCCTTATTTTAGGCAACTGACCTGATAATAAATTTCTGTTCTGTTAACTCCAGCTCAGACTTGCATCTTCATCTTTAAGACCGCATATTAAACATGTCTCAACCGTGTGTCCATTTACAACTAACTCCTTTGTATGTCTCTCTCAGTTATCAAAAAGGAATCTGAATTGTGTTCTTTTGTGCCTATTCTTCAACAACTCCCCCTAAGTAAATCTAGAAGGTGTCCCCTAACTAAGTTGATAATCTCTTCTCATTTGGATTACTAAAATATCACCAAAGAGGCTTTCTCAGTTTATTTATTGAACACACTTTTTTTATGCATCAGCTACGTTCCATGACCATTGATAGACAATGAAAAGAAACACAAAAATGGATATAATCCCTCTTCCCAAGAGTCTAAGGAAGGAGACAGACCTGGACCAGGTGCTTCCGGAGAGAAGCCAAAGCATTATAAGGACCCAGAGTCACATCCCTCTCTGTTCCATCTTCATACCAGTGCCAGATTCATGATACTTATAAATGTAAATTGTCCATGTCAACGGTCTGTCTTTAAAATTACTTTAGTGGCTTCATACTGCCTTTAAGACAATCCCTGTTACTGTGATACAGAAGCCTCTTAATGTTCTGGTCTCTGCCTGCAATTTAGCATCATTTTCTGCATGCCACCAGCATTTGGTGGCTCAACCCATACTCTGGCTTTTACACATAACACTCTCACATCCTATATCATCCCTGCATGCAAATCTTTATCCAGAAAACCTTTCACTAATGTGGTTTAGATGTCCTTTCTTTGAAAGCAGAGAATCAAAGCCATAACCTAGCATAACACTCATAGTATTACAACTGAGTCTGGCAGAGACACTAACTCCAAACTCTTTGTTGAGACTCAAGCACAGTTTAAGGACACAGAATTAATTCAATAGCTAGTAACAAATATATTGATGAATATGATACCACCTAAGGAAATAAGTGAAAGCCATAAGCTTTCATCTGATTGTGTGACCTTTTAATATTTCTATTTTTATCCCTTTATCCATCATCACCATTCAATTTTACAAAATAAACAATTAAAATAGAGTTGAAGTATTAGTTTTAGTAAAAATATAATTATTTAAGCCCAAAGATATATGTAATTAGGGCAAATTTCACATGAAAGAAGGACAAATGAAAAGTATAAAAATATGTAAAGAAAAATCATTTTAAAGAAAATATTTCTCATGGTTTCAACTAAATATTACCCCTAGTCCACCCACAAAAAAGGGAAGGAAAAGGGGCCACTTTGGGAACATTAAAATTTGTTGTAAATTAATTTTGTTGGGGGATAGAAGGCAAGAGATATGTGTGCCAAAGTTTAAGGATGATGCAAAAAGAGCTGTGTGGGAAGGTTTTATTCCCTGTTCAACTAGAAGAATCATCAAGACGATTTTCAAGGAAAAAATAGTATTTTGTAGTTATTGCTGGATAAACATTAGTTAAATGTCAAATCCCAGGTGACTTGGTGTTATGGAAAGAGTAAAATTAGATCTGCCTTCAAAGCATTCTTTTATAATTTTAATGTGTTCAATGTAATAAGTTATAACCTATAGAGATTGTTCTTTCTAGTGCTTTTGCCTCCTGTGTAGTAAAATATCCTATATCTATTTCCCATAAAGTAATGACATAGTGCTTAAATTACCTTTGTATGTAGAAGTTGTTTCAATTTTTTTAAAGAGGAATTTTTCTGTGGAGCATGAGAAATTGGGGCCTGCAAAAAGTGAAACAAAAAGTAAACTGATAAAGGATGTGTTTGAGATTGTTTTGCCTATTTTTGTTGAACATATAAGGTTTTCGTTATCATTTGCAAAACTTCATTTTCCATTTACATGTAATTAATGAATTGCATTTTTGAATAGCTGGCATCTAAGGAGCACTTGATGCTGTACAAACATGAACCAATCTCTAACCTGGGTCCCTCAGCTGTAAGCAGCTTTACCTCCCTGTTCCCTGACAGATGACACAAGTCTGCAGCAGGGACGTTCTCTAGGTCACTGGCATATCCAAGCTGTAAGCCAAGCTTAACAATGGATTTCAAATGAATAGCTTATGGGATTTTTTTCACTTGTAAAGAGAGAAAAGCTTAAAATAGCAGCAGCACTGTAAGGAAGAAGAAACAGTGACTCAGGGTACACTGTTGGGAAAATCAATAAATTACTTTCCTTGGTTAGATGTCCTGTACTAAATGAAATTCTTGGTCTCCTCTATTTTAAGAAAGGAATCAGGCATTTGCAATGAAAGTTCATTTATAATCATGCTCAATAAATGGTTAGGTATATATAGGAAAACAAATTATAGAAAATCAAAGAAAGAGGTTGGGATAAAAGAAGAAATGTGAACCATGGGGAATGATGTATGTGGGTTTGAGTCCCACCTATTAGCTGTGAATTACTATGACTGTGTGTGATGTTTCCTTAGTTGTATCCTCTGGAAAAATGGTAATACTCTGGCTCCTGCATAGCGTATGCAGGAATTAGAGAAAACGTGTGAAAGATCTTAGCACAGTGTTGTATTCATTATAGCAACACAGATGCTCCATTGGGCAATGACAGGTACAAAGCATGCTTCACAGACACTAAATGAGATATTTCTAAATTTTATGATCTGTGCATGTGTTCACCTATCAAGTGATTCAACATCAACCATGAATACTAGATTGCATATTGTGAACATCATTATCTTCACATGAAATAATCTGCTTTATAATATTTCAGTGTTTCATATTCAATCACACATGGAATGATCAGAATTTGTAAGCACATTTTATAAGGATTACTCCCTGGTTTAAGAATGATGACCTTAAATTATAAACCCCAAACAACACTGAAGCCAAGGCTTTTAGCATTTATCTCTTTGCCTGTATTGTTTTAAATAAAATGTGTCTATTATAAAGAGGAGCTCAGAGACGAATGAGTCTTTTGCAAAATATTGAAAA